TCAACAAGAACTCTTATTCTCTTGTTGTGATTGATGATTACTCTCGATTCACATGGCTTTTCTTTCTATCCAACAAGAGTGGGATTGCTAACTTGATCATGAAGTTCATGATGATGATTGAAAAATCAGATGAATGAAAAGGTAAATGCACTTCGAACTGATAATGGCACAGAGTTCAAGAATGCAGTTATGGATTACTTCAGTGCAGAAAAGGGAATATTGCATTAATATAGTTCTGTTCGGACACCATAACAAAATGATGTTGTAGAACGGATAAATTGTACTCTAATGGATGCTGCAAGGACGATCCTTTGTGATTCCAAGTTTTTGGTCTTCTTCTAGGGTGAAGCGATCAACACAAATTGCTATGTGTAGAACTGTGCTCTGATCAATAAATCTTCGATGAAGACACTGTATGAATTTCTATATAATCACAAACCATCGGTTGCTCATTTCAGAATACTTGGATGTGCTTGCACCCTTCATCAGATCGAATCCAACCCCAAGTTCAACTCAAAGGCCGATGACTGCAATTTTGTGGATACACCGCACGTACCGCTTACCGAGTATACAACAAAGCTACCAAGAAAATTGTGGAATCTTATGATGTATGTTGGCTGGAGGAGAATGGGACAGATGCGAGAGTTGGACCTAACTGGTTATTTGATTATGCATCATTGTTTAAATCTTTTAATGTATATTCTGATAATGTTTTCGGTTCCTACTCAAGTTCAAGTACAATTATTGAAGATGAAGAAGATGTTGTATACAGATCTCCCTTGGTGACACCCGCGTCTCCTAGAGTGGATGAAACCGCTCCAAGTACGTCCTCAAGTTCTCCAACTCAAAGAATATTTTATGATGCTAAAGCCACTCCCCTTACCCCTACTGAAAGATAAGTTATGTCAAGGGATACTTCCGCTGCTACTCAATCATTCATGGAGCTTGTCTTTCCTGAACCGATTTTAAATGAATACTTGGTGAGTACCTCTCACGATCCTATATCATCTGAGGCGAGTGATTCAACTGAAGATAGATTCTTCAATATCAACACACTTCCAGTCTCAGACGATGATATCAGCCATGAAACCCCAACAAGAATTCAACACGATCATCCGATTGAAAATGTCATTGGCCCACTAGGAGACGGCATTAAAACGAAAAGTCAGAGTGGAGATGTCAATAAATGTATCTATTCTTTCTTTATCTCTCAGATTGAGCCCAAGAGTGTGGCAATGGCGTTAAATAACCAAGTTGGGTTGATTCGATGCACGAAGAGTTAAATCAATTTGAAAAACTAGGTGTTTGGAAGATGATTGAGTTACCGAAGGGCAAGAAGTCTTTAGACACGCGCTGAGTTTTTAGAAATAAGCAAGACGATTCCAGGGTGATTGTGCGGAATAAGGCTCAATTAGTAGTTCGTGGATTTAGGTAGATAGAGGGTCTTGACTACACAGAAGTATATGCTCTGGTTGTACGTTTGGAAGCCATTCGTATATTCCTTGCATATGTTTCATACATGAAATTTACTGTTTATCAGATGGATGTGAAGACCGCCTTCTTGTACGGAGCTGTGAAGGAGGAAATTTATGTTGATCAACCTCCCAGGTTTGTCAATTCAAAGTTTTCGAATCATGTTTACAAGTTGGATAAAGCTCTATATGGGTTGCATCAGGCCCCCAGAGCTTGGTATGCAACTCTTATAGAGCACTTGCTTGTGCATGGGTATACATGGGGAACAATCAATCAGACCTTTTTCATCAAGCATGTGGGTGCATACTTGATTCTTGTACAAATCTATGTCGACGACATCATTTTCATGTCAACAAGTTCCAAGCTATGCAAAGAGTTCGAGATTGTCATGAAGAAAAGATTTGAGATGAGTTCGCTAGGTGAAATGATCATGTTTGTAGGGCTTCAAGTTCGACACGATTCAGCCAGAATCTTGTTACATCAAGGCAAATACGTTGAAGACTTGTTGGAGAAGTTTGGATTTAAAGATTTAAAGATCGCTTTGACTCTAATGGTTGAAAGACCACTGTTTTCTCTCGACTCAGAGGGGGAGCCTGTTGATCAAACAGACTATCGCTCGATGATTCGTTCCCTGATGTATCTAACGACCATCAGACTCAACATCATGTTTGCAGTTTGTGAATGCGCACGTTATCAGGCTAATCCTAAACCTTCTCATTTAATTGATGTCAAAAGGATTTTTAGGTATCTTAAAGGTAGCCCAAAATTGGGTCTTTGGTATCCTAAAAATCCCGATTTCAATTTATATGCATTTGCTGACAGTAACTATGGAGGATGTGAGCTTGACAGGAAATCAACATCGGGAGGGTGTCAATTTTTGGGAGACCGGTTGGTGTCTTCGCAGTGTAAGAAACAACAAACCATGTCAACATCAACAGTTGAGGCTGAATATGTTGCTGCCTCTACATGTTGCTCCCAAGTCATATGGATTCAACACCAACTTCTAGACTATGGTTTGAATTTTCTAGAAACTCAAATATTTTGTGACAATGATGCTGCCACCCAAATTGCTAAAATCCGTCCAACACTGCAAAACCAAGCACATCGACTTCAAGGTTCATATTATTCAAGACTGTTAAGAGCGCTCGCTCTTTCGTGTTTAAGTGGGTCACAATAACGATGATTGACCAGATCTATTCTTGAAGGTGAAGGTACTGAAAAAAAAGGTTAAGGCTGTCTCAAAACTTTGAATCCAAAAATATAAAATTTGAAATGATGAAAAGCTATTAGAGTTATTTTTTTTCTAAAAGTTAAAAAAAATAGTATGAATTTAAGTTTTTAGATTTTATTTTATTTAATTTTAATTTTTATGTCTTCAAAATGTTTTTCATTTTAATTAAATTGGGATGTATTGGGTTTGGACTTAAAGCTTTTGGTTTACAGCTCATGGGTTTTGCGTCGGAATTGGTATGGGTTTTGTGTCAGAATCAAGGTTCAATTTCAGCCAATTGTTCTGCATCAAACGACCCAAGTGAGAAAATCAAGAATTTAAGCAATTAAAAATAAATTTTCTCAATTACAAGTTGATTGGGCCTTAGATTAATTTTGATTCAAATGAGAAATAGGTATATAGCTAGAAACAAGTTTACAGTTGTAAACAAGTTTTACGGCTGTAAATGGGTTTATGGCTGTAAACGAATCCCTTTCCCAGTTTGACGTAAAACGCTTTTTGGCTTCCATAACCTGCAAAACACGATCGAATTGAGTCGGATTTAACAGTGTGGGCTTCGCAATCGATATACCTTGAGGTATCAAGGTTCAATTTCAAATATAAACACAAACAAATGATGAATCCATGTCAGAACTTGAGAGAAGAGTTTTCAGCTGTAAACTATAGGATGGGGTAAGTGGAGTTTTCAACCGTAAATCCTCCCTTAAATACCTTAGACAAATTCCGACGCAAAATCCTCCCTTAAATACCTTAGACAAATTCCGACGCAAAACCCATGAGCTGTAAACCAAAAGGTTTAAGTCCAAACCCAATACATCCCAATTTAATTAAAATGAAAAACGTTTTGAAGACATAAAAATTAAAATTAAATTAAATAAAATCTAAAAAATGAAATTCATACTATTTTTTTTAACTTTTAGAAAAAAAAATAAAAATAAAAATAAAAATAAAAATAAAATAACTCTAATAGCTTTTCACAATTTCAAATTCTATATTTTTGGAATCAATGTTTTGAGACAACCTTAACCTGTTTTTCAGTACCTTCACCTTCAAGAATAGATCTGGTCAATCGTCGGTATTGTGACCCACTTAAACACGAAAGAGCGAGTGCTCATAACAATCTTGAATAAATTGAACCTTGAAGTCGATGTGCTTGGTTTTGCAGTGTTTGAATGGATTTTTAGCAATTTGGGTGGCAACATTATTGTCACAAAATATTGGAGTTTCTAGAAAATTCAAACCATAGTCTAGAAGTTGGTGTTGAAACCATATGACTTGGGAGCAAAATGCAGAGGCAATAACATATTCAGCCTCAACTGTTGATGTTGACATAGTTGTTTCTTACACTGCCAAGACACCAACCGGTCTCCCAAAAATTGACACCCTCCCGATGTTGATTTCCTGGCAAAGTCACATCCTCCATAGTTACTATCAGCAAATGCATATAAATTGAAATCGAGATTTTTAAGATACTAAAGACCCAATTTTAGGCTACCTTTAAGATACCTAAAAATCCTTTTGACAGCAATTAAATGAGAAGGTTTAGGATTAGCCTGATAATGCGCACATTGACAAACTGCAAACAAGAATTTAAGAAATTAAAAATAAATTTTCTCAATTACAAGTTGATCTGAAATTGAACCTTGATTCCTCAAGGTATATCGATTGTGAATCCCACACTGTTAAATCTGACTCGATTCGATCGGCTTTTGCAAGTTATGGAAGCCAAAAAAGTGTTTTACGTCAAACTGGGAAAAGGATTCGTTTACATCCATAAACCCGTTTACAGCCATAAAACCTGTTTACAGCTGTAAACTCGTTTCCAGCTATATACCTATTTCTCATTTGAATCAAAATTAATCTAAGGCCTAATTAACTTGTAATTGAGAAAATTTATTTTTAATTGCTTAAATTCTTGATTTTCTCACTTGGCTCGTTTGATGCAGAACAATTGGCTGAATTGAATATTTCCGAAAGCCACAACATTGTTTCATACTTGTCCGATCCTCCAGTGGGACATCAAGAGGTTAGGTCCATGGTTCATGGACTTAAATATTGCAAACTTGCTCATGCTTTTCAATCGAATCCCATAATTTATCAGGAGTTAGTGAGGCAGTTTTGGGACAAGGCTTCAATTAATGAAGGATAAAATGGAGAAGGCACAGTGGAATCCGTTATCCAAGGAAGAAAGATTGTGGTGTCTGAATAGATTATTCGCGGAGTGCTTCAATTCAAGGACCAGCCAAGATTTCCAACTGAAATTCATATGGATAAGACCGAAGAGATTCTTGATTGAATGGGCTATGAAGGAGTGTTCCCTCCTACATTAAAGAAGTTGTTGCCTCCGTATTGGCGTTTTCTTGCCCACTCCTTTGTAATTTGCATCTCCGGCGGGAAAACAAGTGCTGATGAAATTTCCCTACTGAACATTGGCGCCATCGCTGTTCTAGTCATGGATCTTAAATTTAATTTTTCAAGATTTGTGTTGAATGAAATGAAGAACAATTTACAAGGGAAAAGGAAGGACAATTTTTTAATGTATCCAAGGTTTCTTCAGATGATCTTTGACAGTCAATATCCGGATTTAGAAAGGAGAGGTGATGTCACACCTCGCTAAAGCGAAAACGCAAGACATGACAGCGATAAAGGTTTCATTGCAAAAGATAAAGATACATCACCATAGTAATAGTTAAAATTACAACCCATAATTAAACAAAACAAAATACAAGTTTTTCCAAAATGATATTGTTCAAAAGATAACTTCATAGAATAACTTCCACACGATGCAGCATGCTCTATGATGATGAATCTTTATACCCACTTACTAATTATTTCTTGAAAAAGCATGTAAACAAGGATAACCTATGAAAATAGTTGGTGAGTTCATAAGTTTACAAAATCAAGATTTGGTATAAAACTTTCCATAAATACAAGTACATTGCTATAATGAGAAACAAAGTCTATTGCTATAATAAATAACAAGCTTGTATGTACATGAGCAAACAATGAGTTCACAACCAAGCCTATACTGATGCCCTATCAAGATCTATGCTTATCGTTCCATAGATTAATATGGTATCATGCACTCAAGCAATCGGGCGAGTGAGGAGTTGTCAATTCCTAATAGCGCTATCCATAACGACCATTGGGTCAAAGAGTTAATGGTTGGATTAAGTGTAAGAGAAGGGACTTAAGACGATAAGGCCTTATGTTTCAACTTGCATAGACATACATAGCAAAAAATAGCAATCATGTTTGATACAAATCAATTTAAATACAACGAACAATAAACAGTTTTTCGGACATGCTTTTCCACCCTAAAACATAAAAACCGAAAATAGGGGAATGCATGAATACTCACAATATGCAAAATATAGCAACCAAGTTTATACGAGTAAACTAAATACACCGAATAAAAATAGTTTATGACATGCTTTTCCACCCCAAAACATTTAAAAACCGAAAATAAGGAGTTGTGAATACTCACCATGTTTCAAGTAGCTATAAAATACACCAACGCCTTACTACCGGGATCCTACGACATCAAATACACTCCAGTGAGCTTCTATGTTGAAATCTAATGCTAACATACTAAATTCTACATATAAAGAAATGCCAAACTTTTGTTCAACTATTGGTTTTATATTAAATAGGTAACTATTTTTTTGAAATGGTGATATTTTATAACTCATGTGATTAAGATAATATTGGATATTATTTTCCATATTTTTGTAATATTAATTGAGGGTATTTCAACATATTTAAAGGTGTTTTCAAACTCCTAAAATCAAAAAATATTATCAAACAGTTTCCAAAATTCATCAAATTTTACATTTTCATTCCAAATACAGTAGAGGTCTTCCAAAAATTTTCTCTTAAATTTTTGATGTGCTTCACTATTTTTCAAAATTTTTAATCCTTCTTAACAATATAAATTCGTTAAACCAAAAATTTTATGTTACTACAATTAAATATACGTAAGCTGGAAAAAAATATAAAATGAATTTCTAAACAGTTTAACCCGATTTTATGATTTGTGTACATTTATTCTAACAAAAATGAAGATAAATATAAAAAGATTTCCAAAATTTCCCAAACTTTATGTAACATTGTGATTATATATGTAGAAGTTGGGAAAAATATAAAAGATATTTTTCAATTTGTTTTTATATTTTTCTTTGTTTTTATTCTTTTGGATAATCATTAATTGATGAATAATTACCAAACAGTTAAACTAAATTACCAAAATTTTTAAAACTTCATTTACAGTGAACATAATCCGAGAAAAATACTATTGGTGCTTTTTATATTTTATAATCCGATTTTGTGGATTTAAGTGTATTTAATTTTAGAAAATAGAAGAAAGATAGTATACGGAATATAAAATTCATCCAAATTTTTATTTAGAGTTATAATATATTATAAGGGCTTCTGGTAAATGTTCATGAATTTTGGATGAGTAGAACTATTTTTCCCATTATTAGTCCATTATAAATAAACAAATCGGGGACAAATAGGTATGCATTATGAAAAATTCTGAAATTATTTTTATAATTATTCAAGATGCAGCAGGATCTGCGAAAAATCTTAGATAGCCTTTTCACATTCCCGAAAGTGGTTTTATGATTTATGTAGATTAAACAAAAAGAAAATTGAAAATCATAGCAACCAGTAACCAAAATCGATGAAACTCGTTGAGATGTCATCATTAACTTTAGGGGTCATCCATGAATTTATCTAGGATTTATAGACCTCATAAAGTATTTTTAAATGATTTATGGCCTTGTTTTATTGTAATAATTTTATTAAATTAAAGAAATGATAAAAACTCTTGGAATTTTCCAGATCCTCATTTCATCTTACTGGGAATCTGAGAAAATTTAATTTCGAACATAAAAGGTTATCTAGATTTTTTTATGAATAAACCCATTTACATGCACTATTAAGAATGTACTTTGATCATCAGGCTCTTTAACTTGATGTTCATCACATGTATCTTGTAGACCATGCATGGATATATTTTGTTTGTAGTGATTTTTCAAATGAAAAACTTGAATGCATAAGGTAGATGAACCTTTAAAACTTGTAAAAATTCGTATTTTAGGGTTTGACAGAGGTTTTGGTCCTTGGATTTCACCATTAAAGAACATGCATGTTGGTTTTGGGTGAAACCCTACCACCATCATCATCAAACTAGAAATTTCATGGATATGTTCATAACGAATGGTGTAGAAGAAGGAGAAGTGCAAGAAAAACGTTTAAAACAAGAAGGAACGTGAAGGAAAATGAAGGATTTTCGTGATTACCTTGAAGGACAACCCTAGAAGATGAAGATTTGAAGGCTGAGAGGTGTTCTTGGCTGGAGAATTTCATGGCTTTGAGAGAGAGAAAAAAAGTATTTGAGTGTGGTATATAGTAAAGTGAGAGAGAGAGAGAGAGAGAGAGAGAGTGAAGAGAGGGACATGATGTGTAAAAATGGACTTAATGATTGAAGTTTTAGGGAAAAGAGAGCATGAAAGAGAGTATGGACGAATTTTATGAGTATAAAAAGGTCCTCTCTCTCCTAATTCACATTTATATAATTTCCCCTTAATTATTATAAAACCCCAATTTTTATAAAAAGACTTCTTTATTTAATTCCTGATTTATTAAAAATCTTTGTTTTTACCTATAATAAATTATGATTAATGTTTGATAATTAAATTTTTATGTCTTTCATTATATCCCATAACTTAATTATTTAAATTTGATATAATGAGGTTCATAACAAATTTTATAGAGGTTTTAGGTTTTAAAGTTTATAAATTTGATATACAAATAAAGTCTTTATGACAGAAATATGTGTATGTCATAAACTGCTGTCATAAAATCTCCAAGAACATAAGTAATGTTCTATATGTCATAAAACAGAAAATGCGTGTCATAGCCGACAGTGAAGGGTCTAATTAGTGGTTTGGTCTAGGCTTTCTATGTAATAGGTTCTTTTGGTCATTTGATGGGCTGTAGTATTTTGTCTGGAGTTTACGGTCAACTGTAAGGAGTTTACGTCCGTAAGCTCTTTATGTCCGTAAACCCAAGGCATGCCCATGATAGTATATATAGAGGTTTGCTAGGTCTTTTGTAGTTGTTGATGCCTCAGTATTCTTCGCTCCTGTAAACGACAAGTAGTACCAGACGTGATTCTAATAGAAAAGCGTGTGCAAGCTTGTTTGTTCTCAATTCTACTCGTTCTTTATTGCTAACTGATTGTATTTGTTGTTTGATCACTGGTAAGATCCTTTTTAGGACCTTACAATTGGTATCAGAGCAAAACCAGCGTTAAAAGCACTCTACAATCGATTTTGGACCGGGTTCTCATCTGTTTGCGACTAAAGTTGGTGATTGCTGCAAAAGGGTTTTCAGTTTCGTCAAAAATCTACAAATTCTCTCAGGTTTCAGAGTTTACGGCCTTAGCTTACGACCGTAATCTCAGCTTACGGCTGCAAACCCTTCGTAGTTCTTGAACCGTGAATTTTGTTCTTAGGCCGTGAATAAATATTGTTCATCAACCAGAATCATGAAATTTTTTGGACCGTGAACTTTAACCGGAAACACTTTACGATCGTAAACTCAGAGTTTACGGTCGCAAACTCTAAACGGACCATGAACTCTGTTTACGACCGCAAACATATTTTGACCGTGAACTTGTGTTTGACCAGAAACTTAATTTATTCTTAAATAATTTAATTTTTGTTTCTTATTAATTTAATAATAATAATGGATTCTCAAAGTCAAACACACCACCACGAGCTGGATTCCTTAATGGGCACAACCACCCGAATTCCTAGACTCCTGTCCGCTGAAGGTTTCCTACAATGGAAGTATAGAATTGAAAAGTACATCAAGATGAAGGACTTTAAAATCTGGAGAAGCATAATAAAAGATCCTGTCAGAATAACCACTACTGTTTCAGGTCAATTGGTTGATAAGAAGATTGAAAATTACACAGATGAAGACTTCGAGAAGGTTGAAGAGCAAGAAAAGGCTTTGGCCACCTTGACCATGGCTCTATCTCTAGACATTGCTCATGGTTTCAGGGAGTAAACTTCTGCTAAGGCTTTGTGGGAAGCCCTAATAGAGGTCTATGAATGGAATAGAGTCGCCAAGATATGTTGCGACAATGTTTCAATATGTTCAATTACGTTCCTGGAAAACTCTTAAAGCATAGCTGTAGCGGTTCACATCTCTTAACACTGAAATGACTGTAGCCGAGATTTTCTACACCAAGTATGAGATAAACAAGATGCTACTAAATGCTCTCCCAAAGTCTTGGGACATGAATGTAGATGTTATAAAGATGACGAAGGATCTTAGCCGACTTTCTCTTGCAGAAGTAATGGCTATCATCAAGGCTTGTGATATTGATGACAAGCAGCAAAAGATAAACCACGTGAGCTCATACTTAGCTGCGAACCTTGGGATCTCATCTAAAAATGCTTTTTCATATCTCACTTTCTCTTCTACAGGTAAATCATTTGCTGCACAGCAAGATCAGGTTCAGTCTTTCTCCACTCCATCAACTTCTTCTCTTCCTGCTGCATCAACCCTGCCTCTCTCTCAGAATCAATCGTTCATGGT